GCTGCAGGTAACACCTCCTGGGAACGCACACATTTTCTGGACTATTTTCCACCAAGGATTACGTCGTATTTTATATTTATTATATTTCTAAAAGCACTTCGCAGCATTTCCCCTGTGTGTTCACGTCACGAGCGCAACAAAACCGCGACGGATCAGCTGACTGTTTTTAAAGCGAGGTGCAGCAACTTTACAGCAGCTCCGACCAGCCAGGGAGTTTATACGTCAAACCCTTCAGACGGTTACTTGTATAATGAGCATCAAAAATCTGTAATTTGCGCAAAAAAATCAGTATCAATCACTCACGGGTGGGGTGGAGGTGCAAGTGAACTGCAGCTGCGCGGGGTGGGGAGGAGGAGGAGGAGGGGGGTCTTTTAAAGACGTGTCTACATTTGACTTTTATTTTTTCTAAAATCACAGAGTTCTCTGAGTCAGCTTCAGATGTTTGTAGTTAATCATAATACCTTCTAAATTTAACCAGGTGTTTCAATGCCTTTAAATTACACAATAATTTTACTGGAGAAACTTGTCAGTTTGGATAAAAAAAAAACTGTAAAAAAATTATAATTTTTTCTGTGCAGAGAACTTTCTCTGCTGTAGTTTTCTCAAATAAATATATCAAAGCTCCTCAGTTGTAAGCAACTGTAAGCAGAAAGCTTATGGATATTGGATGTTGATTTGAAATTATGATGTTGATGTGTAAATTTATTACCATAATTGAAGGTGAGTCGCGTAAATTTATGTTTTTATAAAACAAGTAGCCCCCCCCTCCTCCAAAGACCAATTTTCTAGGGGAAACACTGCGTGCTGTTTCAGAAACTCCAGCAAGTACAACATGCTTACGATTTTGACATGAGCAGAATGCTGCCCGTGGATTAGCTCTGGGATTGATTGACAGAAGAAATTGTAGAATATTCTTCATTTCAAAATTTATGTGACCTATTGGTTAAAAATAAGTGGGTCTTTTTCCTCATCCCTACTCTTCTTCACTGTTGACTTGATTAATACTTTTCTAAAATTTCACACTACAAAATAGGTTTGTTTACTGTTATTTTATTGTGGTGGATGTAACAGGTCTCTCTTGTAAATGAGACAATGAGTCTCGAGATTTTCCTGTATAATTAAAGGATAAATAAAATAAAATAAATAAATAAATAAAAAGGCAAAAGTGTGTGATTTGTACTGATATGGTATTGGATTAATATTGGTATCAGTCAGTATCAGCTAATTCTTAAAGCTGCAATATCGGTAACATATAGGAAATGAAAAAGTTGTATCYGGACACCTCTATGAATAAGTTTCTTGGAGGACCTACTTAAATTTTCTTTTTGATTTGAATTTACAGTTTTTGTTCACAAAAGTAAACATCAACAAGCAAATCAAACTGTTTTAACATACATAGAAGAGGTGATGGCTTTAAAATTGAAAAAGCTTGTTCCTTGTAAATGTCTAAAATGTATTGAGACTTTTATTTAACAAAATGACAGGCATCATGGCAATCATTTGTGAAATGTCCCCATCACATTTAACTTTGCATAAATTTGAACCCCCACATTAAACCAAAAAATATTACTACAAATGGCATAAGCAATTAAAT